CCAATAAAGAAAACAAATTAAGGGCCGGGGATTTAGCTCAGCGGTTCCATGGCCCGCCTCACAAGCGCGAGGACCCGAGTTCGATCCCCGGTACCAAAAAAAAAAACAAAAAACAAAACAAAAACAAAAAAAAGAAAACAAATTAAGAATTTCAAATAAGGAGGATTTGATTCAGGGAATTGATTATATAGATGATAGAAACTGAAGCACAACATGATTATGAAGTCACTTGCAGATTAATACCCTCAGCAAAATAATGTCTCAGTCAAACCCAGGACTGAAGAACAAAAGGAAGATGTGTTAGGAAAATCTGGGAGCAGCAGGGCCTGTAATCCCAGCCCTCTGGGTGGCCGATGCAGGAAGAACGTAATGTGAAGTCCAGCCTGGGCAACTTAGTGATAGCCTGTCTCAAAATAAAAAATAAAAAGGGCCAGGATGTGGCTCAAAGTGAAGACCCTGGGTTCAATCCCCAGAACCACAAAACAAAACAGAACAAAAACCAGGAAGGAGTCAGCCCTCTGAGGGTGTCACAAAGCCTGGGAGTGCCTAAACATGCTGGGCACCGCTGAAAAAGTCTCTTCTAGAAGAGCCACTGTTGGGTTCACGAACCTGAAATAATATATGAGAATTCACAGCAAAAGACATAAACAAAGGAATAATCCAACTGAAAAGTTTGAAATTAAAAGCGAACATTCATGGTGATTTGTACTCGACACACCAAGTTTAGCACTGGGCCTAATGCCTTTGAAAAATGAGTGATCCCATTCAGTTTGGAACAATACTGCAAATACAAATAGTGATATGATCATTTAAGAAAATGCAGTCCCCATTTTGTAAACCTAGATGCAGGAATATGTTCTTCGTCTGGAGGGCATTTGGAATCTAAGAACTTTAGTGCTCTTTGTTTAATAGAGAGGATAGCTTTGTGCCTAAGGCAGTCATACATAAATTGCAGTAAATCAAATTCACTTCACTTAGAATACTCCTGAGTAAAGTTAACTGAAAGGAGCAGAAAATCCTATTTCTTTTTGTCAACATGAGAGATAGAGAAGAATCTCCATTAAAGGAACTTTTATTTGGGAATAAGATTGCAACCTGGAACACACATGCAAAGGCCTGAGAGGCCTCTGCTATGTCCAGAAAACAAGGGAAAGGTTGGGATTTTTCCTTAGGGTGGAAGAAAGCTCCTCCTCACTTTTGGAGCTTGGGGGAGTGGCAAGCTGTGAACGGTGAATGGCGATAGTTACTGTATCAAGATGGTCCTAAGATCACAGCCAGCAGTTCCATGGAAAGTTGCTAAAAGAACACAGCCTTAGAGCCTAGGATGCCTGCCTCAGAAGGGATCTCACAGAGCAGGCCTGGGACAATTGTGACCTGAGCAGTTTTTACCCCAACCAAGTGGCCTCTTGGCACTATTTTAAATGGGTGCAATAGCAGTGCATTCATTTGCTCAAATTCTACACCTTCGTGGTAAATAAAATTTCAGATTGTGTTTGCTAGGACAGCTAATGTTGAGGATCTGTTCTAACACTGTGAGGTGTCATTTCACTGTTGTGAGAACATCACAGTCTGTTTACACAAACTAAGGTGTCACTATATCAGTGCCACTAGTTGATATAATCTTAGGGGACCACACCGGAGGCTAAGGAAGTTAACCTCAGAAGTAGAAAGCAGAACAATGGTTACCAGAGGCTAGCATGAGCAGGGGACAGAGGTTGGTGATAAGAGAATAAAGGAATATTAAGTAGGAGAAAAAGTTTCAGCATTCCATAGCACATTGGAATGACTAGTTAACAGTAAGCTATTGTACAATTCAAAACAGCCAGAAGGATAGATGTGTGAAATGGATATGCTAACTACTGATTTGATCATTACATACTGTATACATGCACTGAAATAAAATTATATCCATAAATATGTATAATTATTTTGGGTCAATTAAGAATAATTTTTAAAACATTTTAAACTGTTGTTTCTACATAACTGTCCAAAAAACAACCTGGGTTGTTATTGCCTGTGACAGAATGTTGGGCACTGGAAGTTTTAGATTCCTGGTGTCAGCTGTCCACTATGATTCCACTGCTCCTCATCTTTCCCCACTGCCCCTGAACCTGTTCCTCTAGGCCTGGGCCTGCTACAGCCAGACACAGGGTCAGTCGCCACTGTAAGCTGGGCCAGCCTCTCCTAGAGCCATAGTTCTGGGTCCACCACCAGGTAACGCTTTCCTGTCTCACTCCATTCCAGCAGGTGGAACGAAACAGCCTAGTGGGAGATGACAGGCTGAGGTTGCAGCAGTGGTCCTAGCAACACAGCGAGAGCCGGTGTGTCTCGGGGCAACATGCTCCAAGTCCTACTTTGGTTTACCAGAGCCCTGAAGGAGCTGTAATACTAGGCTAGTTTAATTGAACTGCCATCTTAGAAAAAAGTGTGAACAGCTGGGGTTTGGAAAAGAATCATATACTATAAAACTTACCCAGTTATATTCTCACAAGAGTTTGATTCTATTTCAACACTCATTAAAAAAAATGCAGTTATCATCTTGGATATTTCATTTTTAGACTCAAAATGTAAGCACGATGATAGCATTTGGCTGGTTTAAAACATTCCTTTGAGGACATTACGTCCAAGACCTAGTTTAGGCACAGTTTGTTTCTATACATTTTTCATATTTCCACCTTACAAAATGATGTCAGTGTAGAAAAACTCTAGGGTAAGTTCTCAAGAATGATACCCCAAACCTACAAAACTAGCATGATAAACTGCTACTGCTTTATGGGCCCAGAATCTCCTTTTGGGGTGATGAAAATGTTTTGAAACTAGATAGAGAAGGTGCTTGCACAACATTGTGAGGGTACTGAATGCTATTGAACTCTACTTTAAAACAGCTTCATATGTGAATCTCAGTAAGAATATTTAAAAAAAAGAAAGAAAAAAGAACTTCAGTAAGTCCCTGACTTATGAACATTCAGGTTGCAAACTTTCACAGGTGTTCTGTATCAGACTAACTTTGTTAGACTTAGGAACGAGGAAAATTCTCCTGGGACAGAACGCATTCCTTAAGTCAGGGACTTATTGTATTGATTTTTTCTCTACCACCACTGAGCATTAAAATCTTGGATTTTGACTTTACTGCAGCAACTGACACCAGCCCCAACATCCTACCCTTTCTGGGTTGGAAACGTGACCTTACAACCATGATGCCCTCTAAAAGCCAGTTACACATGCCAGCGCCTGGGAAACTGCACAGGACTTGGCTTCATGTTGCCAGTGCAGACATTTTTACTTGAAAAACGGGGTCATGGTCCCCATTGTAGAAACAAAGGAGTCACATGGAAGCAAGACTAACATCACAGAGGATCACTAAAATATAGAGTCCATTCAGAGGACTGTGGGCCTCCACAAAGAGAAGTACAGTACATCTTCCTAGCTGTCTGTGGATACTGAGATTTTAAGTTACAAAAGAGAGCTGGTAGAACACTTGCCTAGCATGAGGGGCCCTGGGTTCAATCCTTGGCACTGAAGGAAAAAAAAAAGTAATGCCAGAACTAAGCAAACTAATAGTATTCTTTTTAGAGTGAAAAAAGAATCCTTCACAAGTATCAGTCATATTCTTTTTCAAGTGTATTAGGTTGCGGAGCCAGGCATAGTGGTCCATGCCTATAATCCCAGCATTCTGGGAGGCTGAGGATCACAAGCTCAATCAAGCCCAGCTGGGACAACTTAAGTGACTTAACAAGACTCTGTCCCAAAATGAAAAGGGCTAGGGATGTAGCTTATTGCAAAGGTCCTGGTTCAATTCCTAGTAGTACAACAATACTGTGTCAGAAATTATAAATGATGAAAAGTATCATGTTTGCAAGCCACCTAACTCAGCCTTACTTACCTGTCCTTTGAAGCTTCATATTATGTACAAATGAAGACAATAACTGAAATTGGTTCACCGACTTGGCTTCCTCTCTAATTAGATATTTACAGAGCCACAGTGGGACCATAAAGCTAATTGTATTTCCTCCCTCTGGAGCTCTGCTCAGGAACTTACTGGCTTCAACAATAAGGAGGCTGTGGTGTCCATATCCTCTCAAGGACGGGGGAACAGGATAGGATGTGTATTTGACAAGGGGAAGTTTAGTTAGGATATTCAACTGGTGTAAGTAGAAAGTAGTGCTGACTCAAGTAAGGCTTATTTATAGGTTTTCAAAAGCACAACAGATCTTCATTTATGCAGTAAGTTGGTTTTTATGGTATGTTTGGATAATGAAAATCTACGATAAACTATACAAATCCTACTTCTTTCTTTCCAATATACACATTAGAAATTCAAGTTCCAAAGAATTCTATTGAAAAATCGTAAGATTTATTACAATCCACCTCGCTACAAGTTTCTGAAATTTTGTTCTAAATAATTTGTCTACTGAAAATCCTAAGATTTAGTACAAACTTGTGAATGTTTACAGAATATTGAACCTTATGGATGCAAGAGACTCCTATTTAAAAGACATGATTTTTAAAAAATCCAAATTGACTCCGTTTATTTACAAAATTAGAGTTGATCCATCTTTTCCATTTATTGCCATATTGAAGACATTTTACAAAATATTATGGTTGACTTCTACTTCCATATCTTTGTGTAAAAACTTCACCGCTGAAGAGAGTGATCGTTACTAGGTATGAAGACATCAAAGTCGACGGCATTTTAAGTATAGGGCAGATTTTTGCTACCCCTTTCTAAAAGATGTTGGCACATTCATTAGCTGCCCAGGTTATAAAAATCAGCGTCCATTCCTTCACCTTCAATATGTTTTTATATCTATCCTGCCTAACATTAATGCTGGTAGGCGAAAGAGTGATACAAGAATCTTAAAAGCTTTTGGGTAGATCAGTGATTTAAAACCAAACAGGAAAAAGCTCTCCCAGAATTATTTTTATCCATTATCACAATAACAAAGCAAAAATATGATAATCTTAAAAACACAAAGGAAAACAATTTCACTTTTCCTTTGAAAACATTATTTGTTAGCTCTTAGATATATAGAGAAAAACTAATTTTCTTGGGGTAGGAAAGTCTATTTCATAGTAAAAACATCGTTTAGTTGTACAAATGTCTCATTTAGGAAAGAGTATTTTAATCCAAAAGATCCTAAAATATTTCATCCCTACAAGAAAAATTCAAAGCTAAAAAACTGTAATGTGCCAGGGATTTAGCTCAGTGGTTCCACCGCCTGCCTCACAAGTACAAGGTCCCAAGTTTGATCCCAGATACCCCCTCAAATTGTAATGCACTGAACTAATACAAGTCAAGCATTAACGTGTTCTGCTGTTTTCCACATACCCCATGCTAAGGAACAGTAGTAGGTGAAGAAAGGTCTGTATCTTTTTCAGCATCGAGTCTGATTAGCTACGAAGCCCTGGTCCATTGGGGCAGGTCTCTGAGTCTTATGACCCTCTCCTCTTAAATGAGAACCTGGACTAACCTCCCTTCCAAATTTACAGATTCACATACATTTTCTTTTTCTGAGAAGTACAAGAATTCTACTTTGTGCTATATGATTTGACTTTTTAAAAAAACTGTACATATTCAAGGGGCACAGTATAATGACTTGATACATGTATAAAATGTGTAGTTTCAATGACTTTCCCTATCTTAAAAGATAGAGTGAAGTTCACAGCCTCCTAGACTTGCCTGTGGATGGTGTGATCGACAGCCTGGGCTCTGGCTTCATCTCTGCGACTCTGCATCACTCTGAATCCACTTGCTCTTTAGTGCTTTGTTTTGAAGAACAACAAGTTATAATAATATCTCAAAGTACTTGTAAATTACAAATTACTACACAAATGCAAAGGATTAGAATAAATGTAAGTTGAGTTTTCCCTGGTAACAGAATCTGGATACTTTTAGAAAAATACATGTTCTTTCTTGCCTCTTGAACTAAAAATAAGGTGATCCTTTGGTACCAAACAGTTCTCCTGCAGTATTTTGTTCTCTTGCTTCTAAGGGTGTGTTTGTCTAATTGCACTAAGTTTAGATCAGTCTAGAAATCTGACATTTAAACAGGTGGAAACCAAAACCTAAAGATCTCTCCGTTACTTCAGCAAAGTCACTATTCACTTTAAAAGAGCAATTCTAAGGGTCAGGGATGTAGCTCAGTGGCGCTATGCCTGCCTCACATGTGCAAGGTCCTGAGATCAATCCCTGGTACTGAAGGTGGGGGGAAGCAGTTCTAAAAATCAGACTCACATTGCAAATGTTTTAAAAACTGAGAATCCCTGAACTCCAGTCCTAGAAGTTCTGATTGTGTCTGGATTGGGACTCAGAAAAACCCTACTGTTTTCAAAAATTCCCCCAAGTAAACTTTCTCAGTAATAATTTAGTTTTGAGGACTTGATGCTTTGCCCTGAATTTATCTCTATCATTTTAGTAATTGCTAACTTATTCCCTTAGCATTAATCAAAAGCACACCTGAAACAGACTGCCATGCTTACCCTAGATCCACAAAAAACTAATCATTAACACCTATTTGTATCAAATTATAAAATGATCAACTGAATTCAGAGCTAAGACAATACATGGAGATGATGAACGAAGGCTGGTTCTACACCTACAACTGTGTTCTGCTTTATTTGTAGTTGGTCACTGATAACACCAAGAGCATCTTATCAGTACTAAATAAAGAAGAGCAGAACTCCAGATAACAGAAAGACAGCTAACCAGCTAATCGGTATTATTCAGAAAATGTTTCTAACAGACATAAGTGAAACATATTTTAAAAATTACCCATTTCTTATATAAACCCAAAGACTTCCACACTTCTGAAGTCTACATAAAGAATAAAGTTGACAGGGCCAGGGACTTAGCTCAGTGGTTCTGCCACCTGCCTTGCAAGCACAAGGGTCCCGAGTTTGATTCCCAGTACCAAAAAAAAAAGGAATAAAGTTGACTAAAACTACAATTGTTTAAAATACATGTTCAATTAACTGTGAAAATATACATGTAAAATATACATGTATACTCTGTCCTTTAGGAGGTTTAACAGGCACAAGTAGAATTCAGTTTCCATTTATTCTACCCAAAGAGTTAATTGCAAAATGACACATGAAGTATTTGGTATAATATAGTTCCGAACAACATCTCTTCTAAATTTAACACCAAAGCCGCACTTGGACTTTCCAGGTGTTCCACGTGCATCAGGCGCTGCGGAACGTTGTCATGTCCTTTGGCTCTCTGCTGGGGACGCACCAGTCATCAGCCTCGTGGTTAGTGTTGTAATGCTTCCAGGCAGCTTTGTTATACACGGGGAGTCTTTCGATTGATTCTGTCGACAGAGCCTGAAAGAAAGCAGGACCTCTAAGTCTGGCATTTTTAGAAATTCATTCTTTGAGAAAATATTCAATGGCAAAAACATCACTGCAAATTAAATACTCTATTGGTATCTTGTTAATCATAACACCATCTACATATTCTTTTAAGGTGTACATATTTGAAACAGGTTATTTACTAAATTATGACATTAACTGATGTGTATGTTGACTGAGCTTGTTGCCTAATTCCAGCCAGCCTGGAAGATACCAGATTGAAATTTTACATGGGTATAGTCAATGAGCCAGACCAGAAGGTGGATACTTGAAAAAGTCGGCTAAGTACAAAAGCATAAAAAATGAACCTTCATATATATGCATATATAAGTGTGTATATATATGTATATATATGTATATATATATGTATATATATGTGTATATATATATATATGCAGATTTAATGATATCTACTTCAATTAGTTACTGGTAGAAATATTTTTTTTCAGTATAGTGACTACATTTTTAAAAACTCATCTTAATATTATTAACAGCCGTGAGGGATGGTGCATGCCTGTTAAGGCTAGCTCCTTGAGAGGCTGAAGCAGGAAGACTGCAAGTTTGAGGTCAGGCTGGGCATCTCAGCAAAACCCTGTCTCAAAAAACAGAAAAAGGGCTGGGGAAGTAGCTCAGTATGATCGTTCTGTGTTCAGTCGCCAGTACTGCAAAATTAATTAATTAATTAAGTCAGTAAATATAAAAGTATATCTAAGGCACCTTGGTTTTTTTCATGAATGACTCTTGGCCCTGGGTTTGATCTTATATTCTCTTCTGCCATTAAAGCCACCAATTTTAGTCACATCACAACTGATTGCTATATCATACATAATTTCTTATTTCCAATATATCATTACGTTTTTGTTTTGTTTTGTTTTGTTGAGACAGGGTCTCAATGTATAATTTAGGCTGGCCTCAAATTCACTATGTAGCCCAAGCTGGCCTTGAACTCCCAGTGATCCTCCTGCCTCAGCCTCTTGAGTGCTGGGACGATAAGCACGCATCAACACACCCGGCAATATAACATTACCTTTAATACACTGTTCTATTTCAGCCTCCTGCAAATCACTAGAAACAGTGATATATTACCTTCCTAAGTTGGGGGTGAGCCTCTATGGCAGAGCACTTGCCTACCACACGGGAGAACTTGGAATCAATCTTAAAAAAAAAAAAAAAAAAAAAAAAAAAAGAAAAGAAAAGGAAAGGAAAAAACTACATTCCTTACTATCTTCTTTTTTTTGTGATACCAGGGATTGAACTTGGGTCCTTGCGCTTGTGAGGTAGGTCACCAAACTGCTGAACTAAATCCCTGTCCTTCCTTACTATCTTCTTGAAGTTAGGACTTTTCAGTATTTCAACCTCAGACCACTGATATTCCCTGAGATGCAGAAAATATTATACTAGAAATTTCAGTCTGATAATGCAAAATTAGATCTTTGATGTTGATGGCTTTCATGATTTTTGAGATTCCTTGTCTTCTATTTCTTTTCCAAAATGGAACTAGAAACCTTTCAACTGTTGTGTTCTCTTTATATACTATAGAATCAGGCTACTTGATCTATAGGCTGGATAAAAATGCCAAATTTGGGGATAAAAATACCAAATTGGGTGATAAAAAGTATTGCACTGGTGGAGGGGGTAAAGGGAGGTTAGTGGTTGGGGAAAAAATAAGAACCAAGATACATGTAAAGGTATCACGTAAAGGTACAAGATCCCAATGATGAAAGTAACTGTATCTTATACCTAAAATGTACCAGTATACTTAATGAAAAAAAAATTTCATTGATGTTGCCATTTTAAAGTTCCTCATAACTGATATGGTTAAGGAAAAACAGAATTCTAGAAAGAATTTTTACCCTTTTCAGATAAATTTATTTTTTCTTAAATTCACCAGCATTTCCTATAAAATTGGTGCCACCTTGTGGCCAAAACAAGCAACTAGCGTGACTGACTAGACACTTAGTAGTGGCTATTTGTGGCTTATGTAGGGCTTTTCCATCCCTGTAAAATATAGTGAGCCCTCCATAGGTGCACTGAACACCACAGATCAGTAGACAAAGTGCTTTTGCTGCTACCAGGTAAGCTATACACTAAGAGTCACCAGTGCTTGTTCCCATATCTGTTTATGTGACTATATCTGTCACTGTAGTTGTAAAATTTAACCAAGTATTACAATAAACAAAGCATGCGCGCGCACACACACACACACACACACACACACACACACACACACACACACACACACACACACACAAGGGGAGGGTTATTTGAAAAGAATGAATGTTTTAGAAGGACTCATGAGGTGAAATCACATAAAATTGCTATCTACCTGGGAGTAGTGGTGACACCTGTAATCTCAGCTACCTGGAAAGCAGAGGGAAAAGTTTGAGGCCAGCCTGGGCAACTTAGAAAATTAAGGACTACAGCTGTAGCTGTAGCTCAAAGGCATAATGCTTACCTAGCATGCATCAAAGCCCTGGATTTAATCTCTAGAACTGCAAAACAAATACATCCAACAACAACATAAAAACACCCGCTGTCAAATCAGTCAGAAGACATCTGTAAAGGATTAAAAAAGCTCCCGAAGGGTATAAAGCATTTGGTTATTTCTTTGTTTAAAAAAACTAAAATGGTGCATTGTAAGTACAGCTTGTGCAGGAAAGACATGTAGGCCCCTCTACATGTCAGAAGACTGGTGGATCAACATCCCTTCACATGCTTCATGTTAAAATTACATATGCACGATGCATGGTATACGAACTTTACCATTCCTCCATTTCTCTTCCTTTCACCAACCACAGTCCTGATCACAACAGGTAAGAATGTTTCTGCAGTCAAGAGGATCAACTACCAAAACGGGCAAGATCCCTTGTAAGTGTTTTTGTATTTAAACAGCACGTAGAATAAAATTTCTTGATAGTTAAATTTGGCACTTTTTTTTGTTTTTTGTTACCCTTGAAAGAAATATGGTTAAATCAAGAAGACTCTAGTTATTACCTTAATGTAGATAACAGCATCTGTGCCGTAGCCCTCCAGGGAATATAGCTTCAGGTCCCCTTGGAAGTATTGTGCATACAGACGCGATATGGGCAACCCATAACCAAAACCAGCCTGTTCGGTGAGAGAAACAACATTTTACTCAGAGAGCCCCATACTGAAATATTTTTCTAACTATGATAAATCCCACTAGGGTCCTCCCCAGGGCTATCTGAGCCTGCATGTGAGAGATTTGTTAACATGTAAGTGGTTAGTAATGATTAAGCCGAAACTCAGCTGAATACTACATTAGCTGACCCCTCTGGTTATGTAAAACTCTTCATTCTTTCTCTAACGTGATTTCTGGTAGTTTAGAAAAAGCATCTTGCTTTTCTCAATGGCTCGCTCTAGGGTACCCTTTTTATATAAAACACATTCTCTCTTTTTAAGAACAAGAGCAGAAAACACTTTGCTGCAGCCTTGCTAGTTGTATCCATGACTTCACATCATGGGTTTCCAGCCTGTGTGCCAAACCCGGAGGTAATCTATAATAGGTCTACTCTCTTAATTCTCACTGACAGGTCACTTGCTTGCTTAAAATGTTCAAAGCATACCACCACTCCCACTCTCCCCGCTCACTTCCTTAGTGACAAAAAGCCAAGCTTCTAAAAAGAGTTTTCAAGACTTGATAAGATCAAGTGTTTGCCTCCTACTTTCACATCTAACCCTTAAATTCCTTGAACATCACTTCTGTGTCTGTTTCATCCTGTTCCCAGGTGTGTGGAATGACCTCCTCCTTTATCTTGTCAATCTTACTCTTTAATACAAAACAAAACACAAGGATGAAGGTAAAAAGCTTTCTATTTCCAAGCCATATGGTCAGTGACATTCCACACAGCATGTTAGTTAGGAGTTTATATGAAGTCAGGAATCAGTGAACAATTAGCAACCTAGGAGCTGGCTTTACTTTCCACCAATTCTTATTTGACTTTTCTAACCAGAGTTCTGTTTGTCCTCAAATCAACTATCCAATTTCCACACTTCTCCCTGCTTAGGGATGCTGAGCTGAGTGGATTGCATCAGTGGATTCTCATGCTGTTAGCTTCCAGAGGGTCCTGCCACTGGAGAGGCCCATGGAGGTCAGAGGAAAACAAGGCAGATGTTCATTCCCCAGGTTCCTCTGGAACTTTTCCTGCTTCTCGGTTCTGTTCACTTTGTCTTCTCCTCATCCCTTTAATCCAGGCTTGTTATGATTTATATCTAGATGTCCCCCAAGAGCCTCATGGGATCACAGATGGGGCTTTTGGAAAGTGATGGATTATGGGGGCTTACACCTAACTTGCTGTTAGGAGATAGGATCTGGTTGGAAGAGGTGGGTCACTGGGAGTGTGGCCTGGACAGTTTTATCTCCCTCCTACTGCACCTCTGATCACCATGCCCTGTCTGCCAATGCCCCTCTGCTATGCTGCACTGCCTTGCAGCCAGCCAACTGAGAACTGAAATCTCTGCAAGCTGTGAATAAATCCTTTCTCCTTTAAGTTGCAGGTGTCAGGTATTTTGTCCCGACATGAAGGAAAGTGGCTAAGTCAAGGCTGGTAACATCTTTGCAGTAAAGAAGGCTATTTACAAAGAGACTAATCATATATAAGTGTGGATTAGGACAGTACAGGAAGCCAGTCTCTCTGTAAGTAAGTCTTCCTTGAATTATCATAATTTTTACAAATTACACACCTCTCCTCTTGAGGCCCTGATACAATTGTATGAGCAGGTGATACATGACCTGCTTTTTCACTGTCTATTGACCACACCTGAGGACTCACAGGGCTTCATCTATGAATCGTTAACAGAGAAGAAAACAGCCTACCCATGTATGTGCTGGCACTAACCCTAAATGGACCACCCTTCACTACAAGCCTTGCAGGGGCAGGGGTGGGAGTAGGGGCAGGCCTGAAAGACAGGTGAGAATAAATCTTACCAGCTCAGGCAGCGGCTACAGCCTGGCTGGTCAGGGACTCAGAAAGTACAAAAGCAGTAGCTGATGAATAGGCCTGGTAGACATATAGATGGGTGCTCTGCTCTGCATGGGCTTCGGGCATGAAGATGTCCTGTCCATGCAGAAGGTGTCCACATAGGGGAAGTGCCAATAACCAGGTGGACAAGCTGGCCACTCCAGTGCTTAACAGGCAGCCTCTCTCCAGCTCCCCACTGCTTGCTGACTGGGTCATTTACAAAGTGGTCATGGCAGCAGGAATGAGGTTCTGCAAGAACCTAACAGTCTCACCCTGGCCAAGGCTACACAGACATTTAGGGAAGCCTCTCCTATATCCAACCTCTATTTCCTTAAAAATTTGCATAAATCCTGCACCCTAGAACAATTCTTATATGCTATATATTATGTGCTAGATACTATAAAAAACATCTTTAGGGCTGGGGATTTAGCTCAGTGGTGCTGCCGCCTGCCTTGCAAGCACAAGGACCCAAGTTCAATCCCTGGTACCGAAAAAAAAAAAAGCATCTTTAGATACATTAACTTATTTATTTCTCACAATAACTCCATTTTCAAGTTAGGGAAACTAGGCCTAGTAAAGTTAATAGCTGGTTCCCAAGGCCAATCCTCTCTGATGTGGTGGAATCAGGAATGAAAACAATTTAGATTCCAGAGTGTGGACCAATTCACTATGCTACTCTCCACCAAAATTCTACAGTATCTGCTTTCTACAATGCAGCACTTTCCTTCTGTGCCCTTACTTCTTAGGGTAAAACCAGAAGTCTAAAAAGATGCCAATGTTCATCATCTGTCTGCTCCGTGGCATATAGGTATCCATTCATGGGAGCCACAAGTCTCCAATGGAGAAGCACATTCCTCAATCATTTCAAAAGTTTGGTGGAATGAGAGCCCAGAATGTGTGCAGTGTCACAAGGAGAACTATCAGAATAAAGCTCATCTGGTGATCTCCTACAAAATGGTCTAAAATAGATCCTTCTTATACCTATTTCATCAGGTTACAGCTTGACACCGATGAATACGCCAGATGTTGCAAAGCCTGGAAGAATGGAGTTCTTCTAGATTACAGGACAAAGATTGGTGTGAAACTACAGGCTGAGGATAAGATAACGTCAACTGAAAAGCTGATCTCAGCCTGAAAATAGGTGACACGAGGATCAATAAAAACACCATCAAAATAATTAGAATTCGAGGCTATTTCACACTGGTGATTAAATGTTACCTGAATTTCAGTCTTATCTCTCAGTGTAGGATGTGACATCTTTCTAATTACAAACAATTGAGGAAAAATGTCGACATTAAAGATGAAATCAGTGTTAACCAATTCTAGTAAAACCAATAACTTATTCTTCACATTAGAAATAGTATATCAGAATATAATAATCAAATGCTATTAAAACCGCAGATTTAACCTTCACTTTGAAATGATACACTAGAATATAGTTCACCATAGGAAATCTGCTGTTATTCACCATCAAGCACAGCAGCAGAAATTCTAATAAAACAATCATCTTTCCTGTGCCCAATTCAATTAAAAAAATGTGTTCTAGGGCCGGGATTTAGCTCAGTGATGTTGCTGCCTGCCTTGCAAGCAAAGGACCTGAGTTCGATCCCAGTACCTAAATAAATAAATAAATAAATGTGTTCTAAGGATTGTTTCAACTGAAAAGCAAGTGTGTTTCTAAGCACTTCCCTTCTTCCTTATGGAACACTTTACACAACTACTTCAGCTGATTTATTGGGCAGCAGGAGCCTGCAGAAGGTGAATTCATAGTCACAACTCTCTATTTGTAGATCACATACCAGAGGTGCTGCTCGAGAGGTTTCTACACGGGGCCGGGGTGCAGTTGAATACATGTAGTTGAAGAGTCTGTCAATCTTCCTTAAAGGGACACCACCTCCTCGGTCACTCATCTGAGATTAAAAAAGGATATCATGCTCTATGACCAACTTTCATAAACAGCAAATTACCGACATGGTTTAACTGCTGGAGGGAGAGTGCTGCTTTGGAAAATGAATACCACACAGTCCAATCTGCAAACAAAAATATTCCATTTCCCTCATTGGAATAGCAACAAAACTCCTTTAATATGTGAAATTCTAATACAGTACCTATGCAATTCACTGCTGTGGCTTTGTGTACCTGTATTTCCTGAAGCAGCGCTACCATAGCTTTATGGCACAGAACCAGGTATAAGCTCATCAAGCTTGAATGTAAAAACCAGTTTGTTATTCTTTTCTGGTAAGCAATGTGGGAACAAGGATCAAATTAAAAGTTCAAGTACCCTTTGACCCAGCAATAGTACTTACAAAAATATATTCCAAGAAAACAAACAGAAAAGTATGCAAAGTATGTATGAGAATATGCATCATAGTTCCGAGTGCCTCAAACTGAGTAACAACCTAAACAGGAGATTCCTTAAAATGCATTCTCAAATAGAATACTATTTAGCCATTTAAATGCTATGTAGAACATCTGGGAATGGTGGCACATGCCTGTAATACCAGCACTCAGGAGGTTGAGGCAGGAGGATCGCTGCAAAATCAAGGACAGCCTGGAGTACATAGCAAGACCCTGTCTAAATACAAATTAAAATAAACTTTGTACAACTGTATATATTGGCACAAGAAATGTCTACACAATATTTTAGGCAGCAATGAGAAAGTTAGGAAGTACTTGTGATTCTAATGCAAAAATTGTGTCATAAAAAGGTCTAAAATTATATGTAATTCTTACCTTTGGAATGGGTGATTTTTCTTGTTCTCTGATTTTTTTACAATTACTTTTATTATTAAAATAATATAATTTTTATTTTTTAGGGAAAAAACAAGCACAAGTGTTTACATGGAAACTCAGAAAACTTTCTATTGAGCTGTAAGGTACACAGGTCTTTATATTATCCTTGTAGCATTTTTCAACTCAACTAAGCAAACAGAAGATTGAATTTATGGTGATTTATTTACACATTGTTTTCCTTCACAGGTAATATGGACTTACTTTCCTGACTATTGTACAGCCTACAGGCTAACCTACTACAGCCATTTTCCTTTGCCACAAAATCTAAATTAATTCTTATAGTTTAGTTTTTACATTACTAAAACCTTTTATAGTATCCATATGCTTTTTTTACTATAACAAATTATATTTAAATTTTAATTTTTTTACATTGTTGGAGATTGAACCTAGGGCCTTGGACATGCTACACAAGCACTTTATCAATGAACTATTTACCCAGGCCTATTTTAATTTTCAAAATTAAAAATTCTGCCTTGAAATAGCACTTGAAGGTCTGACTCTGTAATACATATAAAATCAAGCAATTACAGTGTAAAAGTAGATAAAGACTTATTAAGAACCTATATGCAGCATTATGCTTAAAATTGCTCTTGGCTATGAATTCAAAGCCCTATGAAGTGATGCCATTTTAGTAAGACAAATACAGAACTCTGTGTATTCTGGGAAGCCTTTCAATTTGCTAATTATTCATTCAGCCTTTAAGCCATCACTCTGCTGCACATTTGCTGGCAACATGACTAAGATGCCTGGGCATTCTATAAATATCAAGTAACTAAGTAACATATTAGAATAGACATTAAGATAGACCAGAATAAATATTTCCTGATTTTTCTTGACCTCTAGACAGACAGATTATAACAATATAACAGGTACAAAACAGTAAATGGTTTCCAGCTGTACGCTCTCTGTGGAGAGCACAGTAACTGAGAAGACAAGACAGATGGGACTGAGAGAAGCAGTCTTACTAGAGGCAGAAGGGGCACACTAAGCCATGGGAACGTGGTTAAATAGTGATGAAGGGTGCATACACCTGTAATGCCAGCTAACTGTAAGACAGAGACAAGGAGGATCTTAAGTTTGAGTCCTGCTGGAGCAACTTAGCAAGACCCTGTCTCATAACTTAAAAATTCTTTTAAAAGGGCCGGAATGTAGCTGAGTAATAAGAGAACACTCCTGGGTTTAACCTCCAACAGCCCCCTCAAAAAAAGTGATAAAGGGAGTCTCCTTCACTTTGCAGCCAATACCCCAATAAACTGGAACCATGGGTTTTAAAGTAGTCAAAAGAGTTTCTAAGAGAGTTGTAACAGATGATCAGATCTGAGTTCTTCCAGAAGAGGGAAGGATAATGGGGGTGATAGACATTTGGTGTATATACTCCTACTTCCGGCAAAAAGAGTGGCACTCTGATGATAAATATATTAACAGACAGTCGTAACTAACAACTCCCTGATTTAAAGTCATTTAGAGAAAAGAAATCTAAAATGTGAACATTAAGCATATGCTAGGAAAAACAAATTATGCAAGAGATAAGTAATGTCAACAGGAAGGAAAGTTAGCCAATTATTTGAAAAGTTTTCTCTTCAGTGCACAATTTTAGTATATGTGCTGCCGAAGCAAGCACTCTCTTCAGTACACAAAATCACCACTTCTCAAAGTCATGCAGCCAAGAGCTGCCATCCTTCACTTCCTACTCTTCATAACCTTGGGCTTCCTAGGCTAGCTCATGGGAACATTGAGCCCAGAGGAAAGGAGCCAGTACTCACTTGATGACAGCTCTATACCAGGGCAATTCCTAGCCCGGTACTCACCCAGAACCCCTGCAGTTTCTTTTCACTGTCAAGATTGTAAAATTACCAAAGGAGAATGGGTCAAGATATTTAAATTTTCAGACCAGTGTGGCTGCAGACAGATCCCATCCAGGGATCTACCACAACCCCAGAGGCTCAGGCACACCTGCCCAGCCAAGGGCACACCTGGAAAAAAGCTACACAGGCATGCAGTCAGAGGCTCATCCCTACACCCTCTCTGGTGGAGACCCTCACCAGAAGTTTGCTCAGACAACAGGAATTGAGGAGCAAAGTGCTCAGCAAAATGCCATCTCAGACAACAGGTACACAGGGGCCACAGCAAGAGGCAAACCTAGATACCACCCCAAATGAGCTCAGGCCTCAGCCAGAAGTCTGCCCAGACAACAGGAGAGCTCAGGAATCCAGAAGGCCACCATTCTGAACCCAGGAATTGGTGTTCTGGTGAGCAGCAGAGAAAAGGCCTCTTGGTGGCTTGCTAAAAATTAACAAGCACTGGGTGAGCAAAACGTTGTCTCAACAAAAGCATAGCAGGCTGCATCTGTTGAAATGAGAAGACATGGAAACAAGTACCAAACCAGACTTCCAGATCACCTAAGGCAAGACCAAAGGGAAATGAGATGGAACAATCTGATACTCAACCACCTGGACACCCTGGCAACAAGAGGATCTGGAAGAAATAAAATCAGAAATAATTTCTCAGATAACAGCAGAGATTGTGTCCATAGTGCAAGACATGATTAATATATCTAGAGCAGGGCCAGGGATTTAGCTCAGTGGTTCCATCTTCTGCTTTGCAAGTGCAAGGTCCCAAGTTCAATCCCTGGTACCAAAAAAAAAAAAAAAAAAAACTAGAGTGGACACAGATAAAAAATACAGGAGCTGAGGAACATGATGGAATTCCAACAAAGGAAAAAAATGGAATCCATAAAACAGATGCAAACAGATGTCCAGGAGATTAAAAACTCCACTGAAAGTTTACACAGCAGAATGAGCCAATGCCAAGATAGAATTTCAGATACAAAAGATAGGATTGCAATTAGTCACCAGGAAAAGAAAAATTTAAAAATAGTAAGGCACCATGAGAAATCAATCCAACAGCTGCTAGATGATGCAAAGAAGAATAATATAAGACTGATTAGAGTCAAGGAAGAAACAGGAGAGAGTGCAGATGACATTAAAAAAAACTGTTCACAGAAGTAATGGTAGAAAACTTCCCAAGTAGGGGAAAACAATTTGACATTCAGATAAGTGAGGCATATAGGATGCAAACTAGCTGTGATAAAAAAGATCTACACATAAGCATATAATAGTTAAAATTCCAGAAACCCAATGGAAGAACAAGATTCTACAAGCGCTCAGAGAAAAGAAACAAAGAACATATAAAGGAAAGCCTATCAGAATCACAGACTTTTCAACACAAACCTTCAAAGCAAGAAGAGCTTGGAGTGATGTATTCCAAGCCCTAAAGAAAAACAGACTCCAACCCAGATAGATGTAGCCTGCAAAACTATCTTTCAAAATTGATGGAAAAATAAGATACTTTCATGAAAAAGAGCACCTTAGGAACTTTATGAATACCAAACCAGCATGCCAAAAAATTTTAAACAACATCCTAGGAAAAGACAACAAGGATCACAACACCAGGAAGCCCTTAGAATAAATCCATCAGAAATAAAAGGCAAAGGGAGAGAATCCAACAAATAGAAAAAGTAACGGCAAGGTTAAGTCAATACATATCAGTTATAAGCATCAATATTAATGGTCTCAATTCACCAATCAAAAGAAATAGACTGGCAGAATGGGTCAAGAAGCAACATCTAACAATATGTTGCATACAAGAGACATAATTCAAAAAGAAACTCATAGACTGAAAAAGAGTGGAAAACAATATTCCATGTGACGGGAACCTAAAAAAAGCAGGAGTAGCTATCCTCTTTGCAGCTCAAGCGGATTTGAAACCAATACTGATTAAGAGAGACAAAGGAGGACACTACATCCTTGTAAAGGGAACGATCCAAGAGGAAGAGATGACAATCATAAATATAAATGCACCAAACACTAGTGTGCCCAACTATATAAAACAAATACTAATGGACATGAAAAATCAAATAAGCACTAATACAATAGTAGTAGGGAACCTCAATACCCCAATGTCACAAATAGATCAACTAGATAGAAAATAAGCAATGAAATACTAGAACTCAAACTCTTAAACAAATGAACTTAACAGATGTTTACAGTGTTCCACCCCACAAAATCAGAATACACATTTTTTTCAGCTACACATGGTTCATTCTCCAAAGTAGAAC